CCATGCTAGAAAAATGAGAATTAGCGTAGCATGGTCCAAATTCATCTTGAGAACGACCTGCAGGATGATCCAAATTTGAGGACAAGCATACAGGACTGCCAATTCCCAGCTCAGGTGAAAAACCCTGGTCAGGGAGCCTGGACTGAGGCCCTCCTTGGAGGCGAAACAGCCAGTATTTCTTGTGGTCTCTCATGGCAAACAGGCAGATTGTCAGGACACGCCAAACTCCCAACATGGACCACCGCATGCTGGGCTTCAGAACCCATTCATGAGTCAGGGAGTGTGTTCCACCATCTGTTCATGTAATACATCACGGTGGTATTGTCGGTGAGCATAAGAGGCACTGTGTCCCAGATGTGATCTTGAAGAGTCTGACAGGCATTGTAGATGACACAAAGCTCTAGGACACTGATGTGCAGAGAAGCTTCCCATTTTGACCACAGGCCTTGAACTTCCAGTGACTCCAGATGTGCTCCCCAACCTATTAAGGAGGCATTGGTGAAAATAGTTTTGGTCAGTGGAGACCGAGCCAAGGGAATGCCATAGCACATTTCCCTGAACTGTCCATGAGCATAAGGAGTCTAGGATCAGTGGAGGAAGTTGAACCAGTCTGCCTAAGGGATGACTATTCGGATGATAGACCTACTTCAGTGACATTTGAATAGGATGAAGGCACAATCTGGCAAACTGGACTACCTGTGTGCATGTAACTATATGGCCTAGTGACATCAGGCATACACGGGCAGTGCTTGAGGGTTGAGACTGCAGTTCCAGACATAGGTGGCAAATTGCATAGAATCGGTCAGTCAGCAGACACTCTCAAATTCAAAGTCAGAGCCCCAGTGGGCTCTGTTCTTTGAGCTGGAACAAAATGTTTACTTCCTGCTGTTTAAGATGAGACCTAGACGATACAGTAAGCACAGCATGAACTGAATGTGAGAGGATTTCTTCTCTGGACCTGCCCCTCAGTAGCCAATTGAGCAAATATGGGAAGATATGAATTCCCCTCTTCCTGAAGTACGCTGTCACTACAATGATGCATTTGATACAAACTTGGGGAGCAAGGGACTGACCAAAAGGGAGCATGGTTTACTGATGGTTGTGGCAGACCAGCACTAACTGGAGAAACCTCCTGTGGCTCGGAAGGATTGCTATGTAAAAATAAGCAACCTGAAGGTCTAGGGCAGCAAACTAGTCCTTGTGATTTAAGGCGGGGGAGGACAGTTGCATGTATCTGATGTATTTGTTGAGATTGCGGACATTGAGGATAGGTCTCATCCCTCCCTTGGGCTTGGGAACTAGGGAATACTGGGAGTAGAATCCCTGACACTCATACTGCAGGGGAACCTCCTCTATGACCCCATTCCTCTCCCCTTCCCCCGAGACACTAGAGACTGAACCTGTTCTCATGAGCGGGATCCCTGAAAAGGGACGAGGTAATGGGGAGGGGAGGAGTGATGGAGATGAACTGTATGGCATAACCCGATCTGATGATGCTTAGGACCCAGATGTCGGTGGTAATCAAGTCCCAAACACCATAAAAACAGGCCAGCCTGTCCCCGAAAGGGTGGGATGGAAAAGGAGGTTACTACTGGATCGCTGACCTGGATACATGAGTCAAAATGGGCACTTGGTTGATACTGGGGGAGGAATGTGAGCCAGCTGGTTAACCCAGAACCAGAGGACCTTCTCCTCTGGGTTCTATGGCCCTTGTGGGAGTAGTCCTGCTGCCACACAGAGAGGGAGAGCTGTCTCACACAACACTGCAAGCGGCATTGCTGCTATCTATTATACTGGCATCTGTTTATGGCTGAAGTATATAGTCCCAAAGAACATGAAGCATCTCAGGAGTCTTTAAAAAGTTAAGGGTTTCATCAGTTTTCTCTGAAACAAAACGCAGCCATCAAATAGTAAGTCCTCAATAGTTTACTGTACACAATGCTTGAGTTCTGCAGCCATGAGCCCCCTCCACGTGCTCACAGCTGATGTCATAATTCTGGCCATGGCATCTGCCACATCCAGGGCTGACTGCAATGAGGTCTTGGTCACCACACGGCCTTCCACAATGAAGACCATAAACTCTTCCCTAGAGGGTTCTGGCAACTTGTTCATGAACTTAGACATGGCCACCCAACTGACAAAGACATTTAGAAAGCAACGCCTGCTGGTTTGTGATGCGCATTTCCAGGGAAACTGAGGTATAAATCTTCCTTCCCATTAAGTCCATCTTCTTGGATTCTTTGTCCTTAGGGGTGGACTTGTATCTTCTCTGCCATGCCCCGTCATTTACTGCAGTTACACCACCAGAGAGAGTTAGGGGACAGGTGGGAGTGGAAACCCTCAAAGCCCTCCATGGGAAGGAAGTACTGCTTCTCTGAATGCTTTGCCATGAAAGATAACAAAGCTGGAGTATTCCACAGGGCCTTTAGAGGCTCTAGAAGAGCCTCATTTATTGGGTGGGCTACTCTCCCTGGAGCTGATTGTTGGAGAATATCTGCATATTCTCCTGCAGGAATTCCACCTGGATACCCAAGATAGAGCCCACACGCGTCAGATGTGCCTTAAAGTCCTCAGACACCGAGGGAGAGGAAGATTCAGGCACAGTAAGTTCATTCGGGTAGGATGAGGAGATGATCTGCTGCACCAATGATGGGTCTTGTTCTTTCACTACAAGATCCAGTTCGAATAGCCCCAGAGGTCCAGGAGGAACAGGCTCAGAAGTCACTTGCAGCTGAGATGACTTGTGAGTGGAAGCTACCATCAGGACCCGTGATCTCGCTCTAGAGCAGGTCAAGGAGTGAGATCTCAAGGACTCATTAGCATCCCAAGGAGGCCAGTAGGCATATGGATAAGACATTGGTGGCCAGCAGACACTGGACCAAGAGCCTGTCCCGACTGTGGGACACATGCCAATCTCAGCATCAATGGTGATCCAAATGCAATCTCTGGTGCTTGTGTGACAATGAGGGGGAGGACAACCCCAAGCAGGATCTTGAGGATTCCTGGAGGTTTTCTGGTGACAATGTGGGAGCCAGCCCCAACAGGGCAAATGGTCAGACTCATCTGAAGCCCATACAGGGGCAGCATCAATGCCAAAGAGGAACAGGGGATCAGCACACCAGTGGTTCTGAATGAGACACACTTCTACCCAGTACCAAGGCAAAGGGCCGTATTGAACTCTAAGGGATCTGCTACCAAGATGACTGTCCCAAAATACACACCAGTGTCGAGGGGGCTTTTGGTGTCGGGCCCCACGTTGGCCTCCACTCCACAATCTGAGGCCTGGGAGGTGTGAACTATGGTACCAATGAACTTGGCAGCTCTGCAATGCAGCTGGAAGGTGCCAAGGGCACAATGGAGGGTGATGCAGTAGAAGGCATGGCACCAAAGCACTCTGGAACCAGTGGAGGGTCTGGGACTGAGGGGCAAATCACGTCTGTTGCCACTGGCATGCAGTCAGTCAGTGCTGGTGCAGACTTCATCAGTACCAGACTTTATAGATGGCCCACAGCTTGAACCTGAGTCAATGGTACAGGCTTTCACTGATCTCGGCATGGTACCAGTTTGACAGATCTGCTTCATCCCACATGCTGGAGGGAGTACCGTACCAGTGACCACTCCTCTTAGAAGATGAGGAGTTTCCCCAAACCGTGAAATGGTCCCGATTCGTTTTATGGGACCAATTCCTCACCCTACCAGAGAAGGGTGAACGACCGCTCTTCCTCTTGGGGGAAACCCAATGTGCAGCGACATCACTTGCCAAATCCGAAGGGGACTACCACTGGGACGAGGGCCTCTGTGCCGAAGCGGGCCTCATGGCCTGATCTAGCAAGTGCTGCTTCAGCTGCAACACTCTTGCCACCTGAGTCCTCTTTGTGAGCAACTTGCAGATGGGGCACTTCTCTTTAATGTGTCCTTCGCTGAGACACAATAAGCACCTCATGTGGGCATCACTGTTGGGAGATGGCACCACACAATGGCAGTGCTTGAACCCTAGTGAGGGCATCACAGACAGCAGCCAACTGCTCTAATACTATACTCACACTGAAATGAAACTAAAGGTATTACTAACTACTATATACACACAAGAAAAAGTTCTCAGAAACAGAACAAAAGTGTGAAGCGAAACAGGACAGAGCTCAGACTCTAGCCACAGGTGGTCAGAAGGAACTGAGGGGCTTGAGGCAGTGCTGCCTTTTATAGTCGGGGAGGGGCTAAAGCTGCAATGGCACGAGCGCCATCCCTACAAATATTGCTAGGCAGATCTCTCCGGTTCCAGTACACTGGGGGCATGCACATCTAAGCTGAATACACAGCTGCATCTACTTGAAGAACCACCACCATATTTTAACATTATGTAGATGCAGCAAGACAGTGGGGCATGAGGTAGGCCGTTTTACTGGTTAGCAGTGCTCACCACAGGCTGGATGAGCTGACTTACAATGTGACCAGTAGTTGTACTACCAAGAAAAGGATTATGTGATGGATCCATTGCATTTAAAAAATCCTTACTCACAATAAGTCATAAGTTGCGACGCTCAAGGCAATACCTGTTTGAGGGGAAGTGGTTTAGGGGTGAGTGGAAAGAGGGTTTTTTTGTTTGTTTTTAAGATGGTCTGTTTCTAACATGCCAAATCTGACCCGTTTCCTTCCTCCACCTTTTGGAGACTGTTTATACACACAACACAACAACATTGAAACACAGTCCAAACCACTATATTAAAAAGAACAGTCATTACACAGCAGTACAATAGAAGGAATATAACCATTTCCACTGAAAATAAAAGCAACATTTATCCTATACACACAGGCATGTCCAAGGAGACCCTAGGCTCTAGTTATCAGGAGGATGAGCATCTCTTATGGCCAAAGAGAAACGGCAGGAGAACCAACCCCTCAAAGAGCATCTGCTTTGTTTCTCCATCTTGTCTGATGCAGTACAAGTGGATTAGACTTCTTTCTTCAGAAACCAGACAGCTTGGGGTTCCTCCTCCTCCTCCTCATGTCTCCAACTTTCTCAGGACAGCAAACCAGTGAAAAAGGCCACTGGAGGTGGCCAAGCGTGCAGCAGCTCCCAATGCTGCGGTAGGCGAGCTGCGAGGGACGTAGAGCTTCTGGGACACCTGGAGCTCAGCAGCTAGGATCAGGGAATTCTGATCCTCAGCCCCTCGGGTAGTGCAGCTGTTACTGCTACTCAGCGGGATAACTTGGGTCCTCAAGAGGTCCTCATTCTTTACCTTCTCTGGAATGACTTCCCCTGCATAGTAAATGAGACAAGGGTGAAAGGATGGTCTAATGGATAGGGCACTGGACTGGGACTCAGAAGAACTGGATTCTCAGCTCTACCACAGACATACTGTGCAACCTTGGGTGAGTCACTTATTTTATCCTGTAAAATGGGGATAAATATTTCATTACCTCAAAGGGCTGTTGTGAAGTTAAAATCAATTTATGTTTCAGAGGACAGACACATGGGAGCTAAGAGGGCTTTAGAAAGAACAAGGGCTTCACTGTCTCTCATTTTCCATGGTCTTGCATGGAATCCCTTAAATGCCAGGAGATGAGAGTCCATTTAATATTGGGAAATTCTAACATTTGAAACAGACAGGCAAAAATATTTAGGATAGGGGCTGGACAAAGGTAACAGAAGAAAAATATCTGGATAAGGCAGGGAAATGAACCAAGAGAGGAATAAACCTCAATTCAAGTTCATCCCCATGAAATACTTATGAATCCACTTCTCTGCACATGGGGCCAACCTGAAGTATTGCATCAATCCACAGTCACTGTTATTGCCATCTGTCCATTGCACCAAGAAGCCAAGATTCAAGGTCTCCATTTGCATACACCAGTGCCCTAGCCCCAGGATTCCTGAGCCCAGCTTCTGGCTGTAATGGACTTCAGACAATACCAAGAAACACCCACCAGTGCAATTAACATAGTACCAGGATCGCAGCGCTAGGGCCAGCATTCCAATTGGGTAGTGGAATGCACATACTAATACCCCTTCAATCTTCACACATCCTAAAAAACCACTCAGACAAATCCACAGTACCATTCTGCTTCTCCAAAGATACAGGTGCTGTTGTAAGTGAGGCAGAAGCAGCTGGTGCTGTAAGAAGCTGGACCTTGTTAGGAGATATTTTGTTCTGATCAGTCTCCAGTTGGCTAGGCTCTGCTGAGGGCTGGGAACAGCTTAGGGAGATATAAAATTCTTCCAGTGACTTGGACAAAATAGCAGGATCTGATAAATCTCCAAGAGAGGCTGGTGTCTGCAATCAAATATAAAACAGAGCAGAGAGAGAGATTAGTGAACCCACAATTCATCAACTGTCCTGGTCACCATATAGTTAAGCATCCAGACATATCTGGAAAGGAATTCTAGCAACCGCGTTTCATTTTTATTTATTGTTTTTGGCCAATTGCACAAAATCAGGGCCAGAGAGCAGCACCTCCTCCACATTCTCCAAGGAGAGCGGCTGCTTATTGCAACGTACAAAATTCCATCTCTGCTCATGTCTTAATAAGTTATTAATGGTCTGCTGTAAAAAACCCTCATAATTCTTGAGCTGAGAGAGGCCCCAGGCACAGCAAGACTGACAGTGAGCACAAGGGAGTTTGGACTGAGGTTGAGTATGCTGCTCAGTCAATTTTTAGTTGAATAAAACCTTAGTTTCTAGTTTAATTCACAGATCTGTACTGGGACTGATGTTTGTATTTACTAATTTACTGGAAAAGGGGAGGATAGGAAAAAACTTCAAGAACTTTCTAACTATAAGGATGAGTTAATGCACTGGCAGAGGCTACCTAGGGAGGCTGCAGAATCCCCATCCTTGGAGGCTTTTAAGAACAGGTTAGACAAGCATCTGTCAGGGATGGGCTAGGTATACTTAATCCTGCCTCAGCATGGCAGGATGGACTAGATGACCTCGAGATCCCTACATTTCTATGAACTGTAAAATGACAACATTTACAGTAGAAACAAAATTGTTTAAGATAGTCACGGCTAGACATGACTGTGGGGAGCTCCTGAAGTAGTAAACAAACTAGGAAGCACATATATTTTATAGACAAAGGAAATTCAGTGTTGACAAATGCAAGTTAATGCACATTTGGAAAGAATAATTTGAACTAACTGACATTGCTCGGTTGCAAATTAACCAACCACTTGGGAAAGACATGGCCATTGATGTCAATGGAAACCTCTGCTCAATATGCAGCAGTCAACGTATGAGAACAATCCACAGTGAACTGAGATAAAGCACAAAAGATAGAAACCGTCAGGCTCCAGACACAAGCCAACTACTAACTGATGGGGGACTAGGAAGAATCTTCTCCTAAGGGAAGTTTTTTCCATAATTGTCGTTTATAGAGTTTCTTGTACCTTCTTCTTAAGTACCTGACCAGGATCACTGTCAGACAAGATCCTGGACTAGATGAACTGTTCTGCTCTAGTAGGGAGATTCCTAGGCTCCTAAAGCTACATGATCAGCTGTCTAATAGTTGTGTAGTTATGTCTGAGTCAGTACATGAGGAACTCTGCATTCTCACATCATCCATTATGATCTCCCCTTCTCTTCTCCCCACCTCTGCTTGCACAAGCTATGTTGTCTGCTCTTCTCTCATTACCTTAGTGCCACTTTCCTCACCCCAACCTCTTTGCTCTCCCAAAGCCTCACCCCATCTCCACCCCAGGAAGGCCCATCTTTCCTACCCCTCATTTCTTCCAGCTCTTCCCTTGATCCTCTCAAATCTGGTTTCTGATACCCCACTAGAACGGCGCTCATCATGGTCACTAACCACCTCTTCCTTGCAGTTAATGAGCTGTAATAATGCACAAAAAACTTGTGGGTATTGATCATTCCTGATCCCTCTGCTACCATCAACACTAGAATAATCTATGCCCCTCCACTATTCCCTCCTTTTGTCCATCCCAAACTCTGCATTCATAAATGGTCATGTTAACTTATACCATTAGATAGGTGGTGATAATAAATAATGACTAAGTATCAGCACTCACTTTGTGCCCCACATGTGCCACAAATGATCCTCCCCAACCTTACTATTAAGAATCCTGACTTCAATCTCCTAACTCATCAAGCAGTAAGAGGCATTGGCAATATTGACTAAGCAGCTTCAAATAAATTCAGCCACAGACGCACTTTTAAAATTGTTAACATAGAGCCTGCTCCTCCTCCCACTGAAGTTAACTGTAAAACTCCCGCTGAGTTCCCTGATGCCAGATCAGGTTCAGTGTGAACCTACACTGAGTAGATTTTACAGATTTCCCACCTACAACAGAACTGGTCACCCCAAGAGTATGCCAGGGGAAAACAAACAGCCAGGGAGTCTTTCTGTGGAAGCTGACAAGCACTCTCCACTATCAGGCCCAAGCATTACACTAATATAAAGCTGCTGAGTCTGGAGTGCTAACTACATTTATATATTATAAAGATTCTTTTCTGGGTTCTTTCATTGCCACATGAAAAGGAAGGGTCAACACTGTTGACTAGAGAGACGTAGCGCAGACAGGAGATATGTACGCTTCCCCACAGAGTTCTGTAAGAGAATCTAGATTTACCTGGAACCATTCAACTCACTCCTGTAAATCAGTGTCTCTATTAGCAGAGACTGCCAATCATACCAAAGCATGGCATAGTTCTCTGATACAAAGATACTGAATTAGGATGAGACATCACATTTTGTTTCATGTTACTTGCTATAATTGGATTAATTTGGGAGGCACTCAGACAAACTGGTGGTGGGCACAAATATAAGAACCTAGATGCAGAGGTAGGTAGATTATCTTAAAACAGTTGTGCCTCATTTGGACTAAAATTTCAATTTAATAAAGAGCAAAAAAAAAAAAAATATTTCCAGGAATATTAAAATAATTTAGAAAACAAAATATGCCACTATACCGGGCCAGAAAATGTGTACTTACCTTCAGCCCCCCAGTGGGCTCCAGGACTTCTCCCAGATCCAGTGTCTTCTGGATTGGGTATTTTGACTTTTCAACTGCTGTCCTTGTCACGTTCACATGATCCAAAAGTGGCCACACATCATCCCAAGTCTCTTCAGCAGCAGCAAAATGGCCTACCTAAGACACCCAGTACAGTGGGTATGGAGAGGAGAAAAAGCGGGAAGGGCAGAAACATTATGGAAAATCTGGCAAAAATTGCAACCGAGAGAAATAGCATTAAAGGATCAATTATTTAACCCTTAATTGAGAGTGTACTTAAACCTCTCATTTTATTTCCAAACAAAAAACTTTTCAGGCACACAAACTTGAAGTTGTGTTGGTGTAGGAGGCCAGCAAGATAGGGTTTTGGCCAGGTTTCCCCATTAAATCAGCATATGCAGCCTACTGTGCATCATGCACAAAAATGTTTAAATCCCTTAGGATGTCACCATGGGGCATTTGTCCATTTCCCTCCCTCCACGAAAGATTACAAGTAACCTGTTGCAGCTGCTCTTTGCTTTGCAGGCTCTGATTCCTTCCTTCATGGCTGGAGGTCTGGCTGGAAGATATCACAGTATCCAATTGCAAGGTATCATGGGCAATACCAGTCTGCTTCTGTAAGGTTTGCAGAGGCAACCAATTTTCATCCCAGATGTCTGAGATCACAGACACCGGCTCTAGGTATGGCATCTCCAGATGAGGACTTTCCTTTAAAAAAAAAAAAAAAGCAACTAACTCAAGTTGATATTCTACAAGACTATGTGAAGAAACCAGAAACCATTTAATGAAGGGCAGAGAGTTGAACTCATCTTGTCCACCTTTCCATTTTCAAAATACCTGCAGCCCCCTCTTATTTAGCCTCAAGAGTTCAGTGAGGTTTGATAGTTACAGTGGATACCGCTTAATAGCAATCCTAATATTAACAACTTCCAGTTAATAGGAACATATGGCTAGGAACCAATCCCATCCCACTGACTTTAAAGTTCATGAGACTTGGATTTTGGCAACAGGCATGTCGCTTACGCAACTTTTTGAGATGCCTTCCCTGGCTACAGACCCACAAGCTTGCCTGCAGTTGGGAGAGGAGGGTACAGACAGGGCAGCAGCTGGGAGGGCCGCTGCAGTCTGGATGCGAGGCTTTCCACAGTTGCCATTTATCTGAAGGTTGCTAGTAAGCACAAGGAAGGCTTGTGGGGCTGCAGCCAGGGAAGGATGCACTGGGACATGCTAAGCCTGGTCCCCCAGTGCCAGGCCAGGGTGCTCAGCATGTCCCAGTGCATCCGTCCCTGGCTGCAGCCCCACAAGCCTTCCCTCCTCTTACTAGCAACCTTCAGATAAATGACAACTTTTTACTGGGAACCGAGTGGTTGCTAATAAATGGAATCTACTGTACTTTAAAAATGGACAGAAAAGTAATTGCATGTCTAAATCTGGAAGCTTTTAATACAGCACACACTAGCAGCATTGCTGCAACACCATTCTTTGTCCTAAGATATGGAGTTCCAGCATTTTGCTCCTTTCTGTGGATGAATGGAATACTCTGATGTATAGAATCTGGTTTCTTGGGAGGTTCAATTCCACTGTTTTCTTTTGCTTGCATTTAAACAAAATGTATGCTAGTAAGTTAACACTTATTTGCTTAAGAGCATTCTTCTCCACTAACACTAGTTCATATTGTCATCCACAAGTCTGCAAAATTTCATTGCCAAAAACTGTTCCTATCCTAATACCTCACCACCACCTATAAGTATAAAGATTAACAACCTTTGCAAACATCTCTTGAACAATATTTAAAGTTTGCAGTTTTATTACAGCAGTTTTAAGTTGTCACCAACACTGGATTCCTCTGGGGAGCTCCTTTCTATGTCTTATTCTTCCTTACCCTTCACAGCAGGTAAACACGTTTGCAAAATGCTTTTTGGAATTTCCCTAATCTTACTGTCAGCTGCAAGCTGATTAAGGGACAGTCTCAGCTCAACCTCAATTAAGTTATTCAGTATTGGAAAAAACCCAACCTCACCTGCATTTCCAGTTTTGGATTTCTGGGCTCTCCATTTGGACTTTCCTGGGAATTTTTGTAGTTTTTGCCTTGTGAGTCCCAAGAAGTGAGAGAAGAATTCACAGAGCAGGCATATTCTTGTACCCTCCCTTCAGGTTCTAAGCACACTGCATCCTTCTGGTCAACCTGAGATCTCTAGAAAGAGAACAGCAACTTTATTTCAGCTCGACTGTACATGCTGCTTTTTTTTTTTATTCTGATTTTAAAAGATTTATTGTATACGACATAAATTACTATACAAAAATATGTAGAGCCATCCACCCAGTGAACCAAGGACTCACCCATAACATTTATTATTTCAAAAGAGCATAAGCAAAAGTAGTAAGGTACAATTCTGTACAGTACATATACAATATTTATATTGTGCGAGATAATTAGCTATAAGATTCCAAATGCAGACACACAGCTCTCATTCTGCTTGAGAACAGAGCATGATCATTTGTTATTTGTATTATGGTAACACCTATAGGCCCCAATAAAGATGGGGGTCATTGTGCTAGGCACTGTGCACGGTGTTTAAAACAGGATGCTTAGATTTTAGATTTGTTACACTAGTTTTAAATTAGTTATATTATGAGAGATATTAAAAAATGGTTCCAATAATACTCAGGTCAAGGAACAATGCAACATCTGGGCACCACATTTTAGGAAAGATGTGGACAAATTAGAGAAAGTCCAGAGAAGAGCAACAAAAATGATTAAAGGTCTAGAAAACATGACCTATGAGGGAAGATTGAAAAAAATTGGGTTTGTTTAGTCTGGAGAAGAGAAGACAGAGGGGACATAACAGTTTTTAAGTACACAAAAGATTGTTACAAGGAAGAAGGAGAAAAATTGTTCTCCTTAACCTCTGAGGATAGGACAAGAAGCAATGGGCTGAAATTGCAGCAAGGGAGGTTTAGGTTGGACATTAGGAAAAACTTCCTAACTGTCAGGGCAGTTAAGCACTGAAATAAATTGCCTAGGGAGGTTATGGAATATCCTTCACTGGAGATTTTTAAGAGCAGGTTAGACAATTACCTGTCAGGTATGGTCTACATCAGCATTTCTCAAACTAGGGTCCACAGAATGGGGTCCACGGGCCCTGCTGATCAACTCCTCCTCCACCCTCCCAGGAGGGGGGGACAGGGTGCGCTCGGTGGAGGGGACGGAATCATGTCCAGGGCCATCAGCCCCGCTGATCAACTCCTCCCCCGCCCTCCCAGTACTCCTGCATGCCAGGGAACAACTGTTCCCTGGCGTGCAGGAGGCACTGGGAGGGCGGGGGAGGAGCAGGGACGGGGCACGC